ATAGTGCGCCATGACGTCATTAAAATTAACAGACCTGATCATAACGTACATGGAGCTAGATCTCTGCCAGGTTCAAACTTTATCCTGGCCACAGCTACAGCATATACAACTTCTCTAATATTCATGTTTTAAAGTAAGTACTCACAGAAGCTTTTCCAGCGACATTGGTAGGCCATGTCCAGTATGAATTAGGAATATCTTGTGCAAATCTATAAATTAAATGGACCCGACTTCCCAAAATCGAGAAGATCAATGTACTGTACATGCGCAAACTAGTCTAACAATGAGCACTGTCGTTTATTTTGCAATGAAATGCGTTTCAGGGAATGGTTTGGTGTTCAGATATCCACATATTACATGTAGCGGCTCGTTTCGTTTTGATGCCTTTAGGGAAAGACGTCCAGTAAATCTAATAGACTACTAGTACTCACTGACAGGGGTCTACCATCAAAGCAAAGGTCTCTGTATTCAGATCTAGAAGTATCAGCACTATAATATAGTGCACAAGCAGCTGGAAACCACTGGTTTGGTGCCAACTTTGAACCATATAGCCTCATTACCATCGCCAGAGATGGATGATGGCGCAGTGTATCTTATACATTTATCTTCATCAAGCATAAGTTAGGAACTTTTACTTATTGGAGAGCACATATCACCTTTCGTGAGAGATTTATCTCTGCAGCATTTAGAGGGTACACTCGATAGATGGAAAACTTGGCACTGCATGTACGTACTGATCTGTTTTAGGCAGGAACCGGTTGATGCCTTGGCGACGTATAACGGTGCAGCTCCCCAGGCTCAATAATAAGTGGTAAAGTTACAGTTACGAGTGCTCCATCTATCATATCTTCCAGTACATATCGCAAAACTGTGTCTAATATACCATTTATAGTGATATGATAACAAACGCACTGCTGCTTCGGACAACCACATTTTACGTATTTAAACAAAACTATTAACTCGCTCTAGGGGTAGAGATTGTGAAATGTAACCAAATGTTATTACTGCTCCAGAAAGTTGCGGGGATGGCGCCGATGGATCATACTTAATTGCCACAGGTCTCCAAACCAATCTCAAATTTAAAAACAAATGCAATTTACTTAATGTTGCCTCCAATGATGATAGGTAATTTTACTGGTCATCTAGACAGACGTCCCCGCCGTCATAGAGCCGCGTACCAGATCAACAGCTCAATTGTTGTCTAATTCTTAGCTCGTCCCCAAGATATCAAAGAGACTCATTTGGATGCTTGATAATGGGATACGGCTACTACCCACATAGTAATACCATTGTACGTAATTAGAAAACTTCCATTAGGTGCTTGGTCCATTAGAACAATCTTCCCAATGTAGGTCTCTAGGAAAAACAACACGGTTATCTGAGTCCCAACGGTACAAGCGTAGGCGGAAGTGCGCTCTATAGGTTGCTGTAACAACCGACACAAAATGGGACTTCGATGAGATGTGCTTTAGGCCGGACTCTTGAGCATCTGCGTTAGTGTCACTAGGTGACCCTTCCCCCATAGAGCAAACGTTCTGAGAAGCAACTCCTGACATCCAAGAACATCTTCTGCTGAGAAAAGTGGCAATAAAAGCAACATTTAGGGGCACTGCGTACTGGTACTGGTGATGGGATACCTGCCTTACGACATAATTGTGTTGTTGGAAGCCATTACAACGTAGTCTTAGTCTCAGTCAGTCTCTGTCGTTTCATTTCTTTTGAATTACAGTATGCTAATCAGGAGAAGCTGAATAAACAGTATAATGTACTTCGGATTTACGTCATGTCGTAGATCTAATGATGACATGACTTAGTCAACAAGCTCCTTGATATTTCCTTGTGCGTAAGTAGGAGGCTGTCATTTGGCGCGCTCGTGCAGAACGAGAGGATGTTGCAAAACCTTTCAGAACCGGAATAGACGCAAACCTGCAGACTTGAGTGCCATTTTACGTGACAAATAATGTAATGCCTCAGAGATGTGTTTTTCACAGGACGCTTTAGCAGATTCACAAGTGGCTGAGGAGGGGCATCTGGCAAGATCTTCGGCATAGGTACAGCTGCAGCGTCAGTTGGCCTTGCTAGGTAAGCATTTTGAGTAACGATTAGAGAATTATAGAAGAAATGTATACGGTATGGTGGTGGTTACTACATGTATTTAGAGCCTGTTTGCAAAATTGTTAAAAACAGGCTAGAAGTAACTGGTAAAGTTGTGCATTTTTTTTAATAGATAGTAACTGGTGAAGTGCATTTTTTTTCAAGAAAAGAATTGAAGACCTACAGCGGAGTAGTCTTCATGTCGCGTCATGGTCATTGCTGAACATTATAACGTCTAGGTCATCTTCCTTAGCAGTTTTAATCTCGGGGTAGCTACAGCGTATACAATGAACGGAATACGGATAGCCAATTCCACACACCAACATTGCAAACTCTTGCACCCTTGAGTAATGCCACGACTGCTGCATGATGTGATTATGGTGGACGTGTTTTACGCAGGACGCCGGAATAAATGTAGGTGTACCAGCGGGAGGCCAGCAATCCAAAACCATCATGTCGAGAAACTGACAATCAACAGCATTTTAATAGTTACCTGTGCGGCTGTACCAACAGCATCTAAGCCCTAATGATCACTTGTACTGCAATAGTGGATTCATATTTCAAAACCTATAGTCTTTTTGCCAATCAAGTTCAGCCAGAACTAAGATTCATTCACTAATGGTTATCATCGTTAGGTGCATGATGTCATTATAATGACTGTATTTTACAGCCAGTCTTAGTGGGCGGCTGTCTTGCTACAGCTCGCACATCGCAAATCGGTAACACCCGACAATCAACAGCATCTTAATAGGTACATTTGCGGCTATAACAACCACAGGTAAGCGCTAACCATCACTCGTTCTGCTATAATAGATTCACGATTTTAGTCAGAGCGTATTCTGGACAAGTAATCTGTCATAACGATTGCTATTATCAGATGGAGTATTGCCCTAGGCGAGTGTATGTAGCCTAATGGGATAGTTTAATGTTGTAGAGTAGAATAGTTTCAGTCTATAACTCTTTTGAACATGTCTTCCTCATTACTTGGGTGCAATTACAAGTGCAGCCCGGTAGAACTATTCAAGAGTACAATGCTCCTTTGTCCATAGCCTTGTCCAAATGTATATAAAAGAACTATAAATTCAAGAACATATCTCCAGATTGGCCAGATGTATCCAATATTCAAACAACCCTGACTTTAGGCGTTATTGCAAGAACCTTACATCAAAGCGCTGACGACGCCAGCTGGAAAAAATAACCGTCAGTTGTTCACGATCAAAGAGACTTTGCTGCGGGGGACGTTCAGTGAGTGTCCCAGCCGGATAAGACTGAGTACATCTGCAGAATTTGTCTGAGCCTGAATGAAAGGCCCATCTGGTCCCCCGGTGATGTCCAGGAGCCAGACACACAATGAGGGAAAGCCCAAACGTGCTTTCATCGTCAGTACATTGCATGTATATCTAACATAATAAATTAACTGTAGTTTTATCATTTCACTGTTGTTATGTCCCTGCTACAATCTTTTGAGCTGTAAGTCGGCAGATTTCAACAGATTCTAGTGTCTTCACCTTCACCTTCTAGTGTCTAAATAATGAATAAATCTTAGGATACTTTAACCCTGGATAATGAAAGATAGACTGATAAGACAAAATTCCAACGATTTTCATTTTGATGACTGTCTCATCGCCACACCAATGGGCCTAGCATTGGTATGGCTGATCCTACAAAGCAAGGACTGGAACAATCTGAAATACTGTCGACCTAAAGCTAGTCTCAATTGCTTGCCAGCATGCCAACCTAGCTATCTTCTTTTACTTCGTTGGTTTGTAACTTATACAGAGAGAGCTATAAGGACATTTTGGCCAAATGTTTTCAGCATCAACGTCTATGTAATTACTGCTATTCAGTCTGCTGCCGTGGACGCCATATAAATGAAACAAACTAAAAAGGCATATTCCGTTGATGTCTAGCCTGTAGCTGTACTTCCAACAGGCAGATTCCTTTCCTACTCTCTTGGCATTCATCCGTGCCTTAGCCACTCACTTTGAAAGCTTGTTGCGCAACCAGGCTGCACGTGTCACAATTGACTCTGTATCCAAGGTCATGGATTCCGATTGCACGCACCATGACTCCTGATGGCGTGAGCTGCAGTCCCCGAGCGGAGGACTTGTCAAGAGATACACCTGGCCATGGAGCACGACAAGGAGCCTGAAAGCCTGCGCTGAAAACACTCAAGCTGTGGCCTCGAGCAAATGAACATGAAGTCATCCATCTCTCAATGCCTCCACAATGAAGCCTCGACGATGAGGTCTCAAGCACCGGCAGTCAACTACTGCAGGCCGTATTACGCTTCCATCGCAGCGGATTTCTTATGAGAAGCATATTTTAGGTTCCGCTAGCAATAAGAATAGCTGCATCATCATCATAATAGCAAGGGTGGCAAAGCCTGCTTGAAAATGCAACATCTTATCTTGGTAATTGAGTAGAATCCCTATCAAATAGCCTTATGCCCGTGACATGTGAACATCTTCACGTGTAGACATTCAAAATTATTTTGCAGAGTAGATATTCACCCGTGGGTAAACTGGCCCTACGTACGAAATCATTTTCCTCATTTGAGATTATATATTGGGCTATTACATTGTTAGATTATTCTATTTCTTCGTTATGTGAAGCGTAAAATTTGATGTATATCCTTACCTTCTTATTTCTTTCTATGTCATTCAAGCCAACGGTATCTCCATCTGATAGCATGTATGTTCAATACGCTTTTTTCATTTTCTTCTCGTAAATTATTGTAAACATGTATATAGGTTTAAGTTACAATCACCGTTTTTATTACTTACAGGAGTTGAACAAAAGTGCCTGCCCGCCTCAACGGTTTTTTTATCCAAGTATCTGGCATCTGCTCAATAGAAAACAATCCCTCAAAACCATGGCCTTTGCTCAGAGCAGACTTTCATTACAAATTATCTAGAAAAATACAAGATCGCCTTATCTATTCGGAGAAATAGCAGCAATCTATCCATTGCGATTTTTTTATCATGGATGCCAACAACACCACCGGAGCTGATCCCACCAACAACTCCATGTACAAGCAGTCCATGCCGATCATGTACCTGCTGGCAGTCGCCTACGGGCTGGTCTTCCTCCTGTGCATTATGGGTAACGTCTTGGTGTGCGTGGTGGTGGCCAAGAACAAGAGCATGCGCACTGTGACCAATTATTTCATCGTGAACTTGGCCGTGAGTGACCTCCTGGTGGGCGTGGTGTGCATCCCCGTCACCCTGGTGGACAACCTCACCATCGGTAAGTTCACAAATCGTGCGTCTATTTCATTGAAACCTAATGAAAATCAATCATGCTTCCATTTAATAAAAACCACTATTTCATTGAAACCTGCGTTACATGATCTGTGCAAGTCATGCACTTGCAATTTATAACTTGATGGGGTTAACAAAAGAAGTGAGGGAAACACGAATATTGGTAATAATAAGGTCTAATATACAACTTTTGAACTTTTGAACGCTTCTTACACCTCTTAGTGTTCTGGGTTACAAAATGGTGTCGTCAAGAAAGGATGGCTTGATGATTGATGAATAAAAGGAAAAAGGAATGTGAAGGGCCTATCCCTGGGTGATTGTGTGCTCCAAATTCTTTGAAAAAAAATTGAGAGTTGTAGGAAACTATTGAATATCAGAAGCAAACCTGTAACATTACAAGCTAACGTCTCACTTTGAATCAACCCAATGTTACCTCGTGAAAATTCTATCAGCCTTGGCAGGCGACAGTCACACGACAGAATCAGCGGCGCCACGAGCGTCTGAAGCACAAAACGTTACCGAAATGTCAAGAGTCCTCAGGCAGATATCAAGCAGATCCCACGCTCAGTCACAGAGTACTCAACATAAGTTCGTTAAGCATTGCCCTTAGTTCATCATCAAAACCGTTGATGCAAACACCTTTTAGATGAGCTCGAGTTAGCGTATTTCGTTTCAAGGAGGATCTACTTCAAAGACGTTCAACAATTTCTGGTTTTCTTAGTCTGATCCACACTGCTGAAGAGGGTTTACCCGTCCTTCTTACGAAGCCCTGTCTGATTCATGATTGCTTGTGGCATAACACAGAATGTCTTAAATACTTATGACCGTGAACGTGGGCCCAGGAGGGAAGGTCTTGTTACTATTGTACTTGAAAAAAAAACATTGTACAGAAAGGACTTAGATTTGAAGGTTATGGTTGCAAACCTTGCAAATTGCAGTTTCCGTTCTTTTTTATGGCATTTTTCGACAGAATCTTACAACATCCGTTCAAGGACATTTCTTTGAAAGAAACACGTCTGTTGATCTCAATCTCTGTTTTGATTATCATGGGTATTAGGGTCCTCTACTTGCCTTACGTTTCCAGGTTGGATGTTCGGGGCGGTGATGTGCAAGCTGACTCCTATCGTCCAGGGCATTTCACTCGCCGCATCTATCCTAACCCTAGTGGCCATCGCTGTAGACAGGTAAGAGCTAAATGGTCCCTTCCATTTCACACGCAATTATTGCAAAAAGTACGCAAAATAAATGAGTCAATCTGGCCGGGCACCCTGCTGGTATTTTAAAAACGCAACCAATTGGCAGGTGAGCACGTTCATACATTTGACTGCCGCTTGATAAATATACACAATCCGCAATAACGTTATCAAACTCTATCCACCCATGTGTTGATTATACCTCGCATGGAGCTTTCAGGGAAGTAATAATCTGGTGCAAAAATAAACCGCCCTGGGGAATGCATTGATTCATGTAAGATGCACATGCGGGGATATGAAATATTGCTTATGATACCGATGGTGCTTTCCTCCACTCTGTAGATACCTGGCTGTGATCACACCGACGGAAGGAAAGCTGACCAACATGCGCACCTTCGTCATCATCGTCGTCATCTGGCTGTCGGGAATGGCCATGATTTTCCCCCTGGCGTTTGTCATGCATTACGACCCCGAGAAGCACTTCTGTAAGGAGGATTGGGCAGGCGACGGGCTGGTACGACTTACAACCTCCCCGGGGACTGTGCTGGGAACAGGCCGACGGTCACCTAATGAAGTCGACCTGTGTGTGTGCGTGTGTGTGTGTGTGTGTGTATGTGCGTGTGTGTGTGTGTGTATGTGTGTGTGTATGTGTACGTATGTGTATGTGTGTGTGTGTGTGTGTGTGTGTGTGTGTGTGTGTGTGTGTGTGTGTATGTGTGTGTGTGTGTGTGTGTGTGTGTGTGTGTGCGTGTGATCATGTGTGTGTGTGTGTGTGTGTGTGTGTGTGTGTGTGTGTGTGTGTGTGTGTGTGTTTCTTTGAGAGACGGAGACAGAGAGTGGAACTCTTGTGACCTGATAGATTCTGTTCTTGTGTTTTCAATCCAATAACACGTTGAACTTGTTTGTTGGCAGAGAAACTACACCCTCTCGATCTTCGTCCTGTGCTACGTTGCCCCGCTCACGGCCATCACCGTGATGTACATCCGTGTGGCCGTCCGTCTGTACCAGTCCACCATGCGGTCCAGCGTGCAGGGCGCCACCAGGAGCGGGATCGGGCCGAAACGGGCCAAGCTCGGGAACAAGGTTTCAACCTTTGTTGTTTATTCAGGAGAAGCTCAAATTACCTTGCAGGCTGCTTTCCCTTGAGGTCATGGTGGAAGAGGTAAAGATCAGACAAAATATATAACAAAGGTGCAGTTTACATCGGTTAAAGTTCTGCTAATCTTAACAGCATTCTACACATACATTGTACAAACTGCATACAAAAGAGTGAGAGCTGGTGGATGGTTCGTGTCTGTTCATTTTGGCCATTTCTAATTTTTGTTACCTCCAGGTACGCGTGTTCAAGATGCTGGTGGTGGTTGTGGTCCTGTTCACCCTCCTGCACCTGCCCCTGCACACCGTCCAGATGCTGGCGGACTACGGCAACCTGGAGAGGGAGGACCTGCGCCGGCTGTACTTTTACGCCTTCCCGGCGGCACACTGGCTCACGTTCTTCAACAGCTGCGTCAACCCCATCGTGTACGGCTGCATGAACAGGAACTTCCGCTCGGGGTTCGCCGCGACTTTTCCCAACGCAGCGAACAAGATCTTCAACCACGACTTCCTGCACCTGTCCAACATCTCCAACCTCTTCGGAAAACGGACGAACGAGCTGAAACACTCGAACGAGGAGAGCCAGAAGAGCGACAAGGGCCCGATCAACAGACAGGAGTCCGCTGAGATGGAGGTGATGGGCAACGAGGTCACCAAGACGCAGAACGGAACAGCTCTGACGACTATGGGCTACGCCACTTGGGTTAGCCAGTTGTAAATTTAACAGGACATTGATCAAGGAAAACAGCAGCCAACACACAACCCTCGCCACCTCAAGCTCACCTTTTCGACCACGTGAACAATGGCTGCAGAAATCAAAGAAAACATGATTATCCTTTCTGACTAAAACACTCGTCTGGAAGAAAGTTTACCAGCATATGTAACGTCAAAGAGCTCTTCATCTATGATCTGGCTATGAAGTAGTCTAAGAGCAGACTGCGACGCCTTATAGTCCTACAGGATTGTGGCATTGTGAACCATGAACGATTCATTTATTTCCAATGTAAATATACGGAAGTTGTTAAGATCAACGTAGCTGTTAGTATTTATAGGCTAAGATCAAGATTATGGATTAGGATCACAATTAGAGTTATGTTGTAACTTAAATTGTGGTTTCATTGTATGTATACGGTATAGTTGTGGTAGGTACAGGTTTGTGCAGCCTTGTGGCACAATCAATTATTTAATAGAAAGCACTTCACAGACGTTAGAAAAAGAAATGGAAAAATCACGGCATAGTGCCGAATCCATATAAATACAAGGCAGCAACGGATTCCAGTTCACTGAATACTCGGACTGAAAAGATTTCATGGATGCACCTATTTTTACAGCTGCATCTTCAAATTTAACGCCATATTCACTTATCACTTACAAGGCAATTTAAACGAAGAACTTCACTGTCCCGAATGAAAGTATGGGTTAAGACCTTCTTTCTTACACACGACTTATTAAAAAAATTGTTTTGGTAAATGTTTTAGAATTAGATTCATATTAAGAATGATTTGAAGGGTTTTGTATTGCTAGGTTGCTAATTAAATGAAAAGAAAGATTTGAGACAAAGATGTTATTGGCAACCAGTTTGTGTATGTGTATGTATAAAGTTAGTTTTTGTATGTTTTGTACGTTGCATATATCAGATATGGTGTGGAAAAGTGCTGTTGATAACAAGGTTTGTTCTTTGAGACATCGATATAATTTCACTATTGCTAGCCGTGGTGTCAACCTACATTGTCGTGTTATGTATACACATTTAAAACAGTACATACGTACAGACATACACGCAAACACACAAGCACACAAACACACACTCACATACACACACACATCCACATACTTACACTCACTGACTCACAAACACACACACGTACACACAAACCAATTTCAGATATTGATCAAACTATGTATATATGTAACCCAGATATTTGCAATAAGTATCCTAGGAATATTTTTAGCTTTTGCAGAATGATTCAACATTACCGTGACTTTGTGAATAAAATTGTGGCTTGTGAAACCTTGTCTCTTTGTTTTCTGTGTCAAAGATTTCTCTCAGTTTTATTATATTAAGCTGCCACAAACTACACATTGAAACCGGACGCCATAACCGCACTCCCCTGGAACAACGAATATGTAGGTATTGTAATCTAAATAGGATAGAGGATGAGGAACACTTTGTATTAGAATGTAGTTTATACAACGAAGAGAGAGCAGAGCTTTATAAACTATTGCAATGTATGTTTCCCCATTTCATACATCTTAGCAACACAGATAAGTTCATATTTCTGATGATTTTAGACAAACCTTCGATTATAAAACACATCTGTACTTATATCTACATCATTACTAAGAAGCGAGAAGAAACCAAATTATCGTAATTATTAGACTATATGTCCATAGTACATAGAATTAGCACTAGCTTGTACATTGTATATATTCATTGCAAGCTGTGACGTCTTTCCTGTGACCTGTACTGAACCCAGTGGGTATTTGCGTACAATAAAGGTCTTCATTCATTCATTATCTAAATGTCTTCATAATCAAGAATATGACACATACTACCAGAATTACATCAAAACATTGAAATGGCATGAGGAATATATTATCAATCAAAATTACATCAGAAATATATAAAACATAAGGGGAAACAATAAGTTTCAGAGCAAATACAAAATTACTTTCTAAAACCAAATATTAGCAATAAAACCAAATATTAGCAATAAGAGAGAAAGAAGATAGTGTCAACACAAACATGAAAACTATATAGTGTTATAAAAGAATGCAAGCAATGTCACACAGGCCTTAGTGCATGCTTGTATGTCAGTTTGCCTCTGTATCCCTCCTATGGCTACCAGAGTAGAGTTATTTTAATTAATACTTTTCGAAAGCAGACCTGACAACGATTATGCTCGCAACAGTCAATAAGATCATCAAATCCATGGTCCACTCAGTGGCAATGGGGGAGGGGGGCAGCTGACATAACCGGTGCTGACTCTGAAATTTCAGCATCTACCAGGGGCATCTACAGCCCAATTTAGAGGCAGTTATGTGACAGACCGCAACTCTGATATTTTGTACCTCATAGGGATGATGGCAAGAAACAGGTTTTACAGATGCTTGACCACCGAGCGCCCAGGCCGGTCATCACACACTCATCACATGCACGGTGGGAAAACCGCAAGAGGTCAACGGTCTCTTACACTCCTCGTACTCTGGGTACAAGTAAGGAAGGCCACAGCAAGGAAAATTTATGGATGACATCATCTGCATATCTAATACAATTGGGCGAAAAAAACATGGCGGACCCAAAACAAAAGATTCCTACATTTTCAAATTTTGACATCATAAACCCTGTTTATAAATTATACAAATGGTTTTGATTCAGTGAGAACATCACATATGAAATTAATAAAATGCATCACCACATAAAAGTAATAGACAAAGCCTTATCTTATCACATCCTTCATTTTTATCTGTCATCCACGTTTCGGTCAGCATGACCAGACATATGTGCCCATTTTTGGCATGTTGACCACTGTCAAAGGGTTACGAAATTTCTTGTTTTTTTCAACACCAGGAAAAAAATCCGTGCACGTGCTGATGGCATCTATAAAAATTACTTGCTGTGGTCTAAGTTGATCTTGGGACCAGATTTGTGTGTTTTAAGATGAACCTAAGATGGTGCTTTGAATAACCTCCTTGATAGAACACAATAAACTTCTCTATACCCAGCAGCAACCAGAGCGACCCTAAAGAACAAATCGTTACTAGAGTTGAAGGAACACTGTTCTAACTTCTGCATACGTATCACTAATTATGTTCCGAAATATCGGTACCTCGGTTGCAAAAGTTAGCATCAGCGCATGTGCGTGCTGTGCTTTCTAACTTTTGAATGTCAAGAGCGTCCACAGCTCTGTCGAAGTAATTTTCCTAGTCCTATACGCCTTCACAGTTCCCGCACCCATACATCGACCCTTCCTTGGCCTAAGCCTGAAATCTGCATTTATCCATACTAAATCTTTCACTTCACAGCACGCATCACTGTCAAGACCCTGCGTCCTAACGACGGCTTTCCGTGTTAGATAATTCATCCGGTTTCCTGCCATTGACCTTTGAATGACTCCCAGAAATCTTGAACTGAACCTCACGACTTTGAACTTGGTCCCAGTCATTAATGGCGAGACGTGGCTTTGCGTGTGTATGCCTGCATTCTGGGCACGGTCGGGCATTATCGGGGCTATATAATATACCAGAAAAGAATACATAAACCATGTCTGTCTGTCATTTGATACAACTGTTATCTTTTTTGATCTTACCTCCCGCGTGCATTCCCGACTATCTACTTTTGCACGACTTAGTGTTGATCTTAAAGCATCGCTGGAGACATTCTAGAGAAAATTGTCCATAAAGCCACTGATCTTGCTCAGGCGAGGTATTCAGCGTGGTTTGGAAAGGGGGATAAAAAGTTCTTCTAAAATCCTTCGTTACATCATTTAGCAGATCCAAATCTTCGTTTTGATTTGCCTTTTTCCCTACACTTCTTCTTTGATCCAGACACAACAGCATCTAATACATGCTATCTAGAAGCTCAATTGTAACGAAAAGTAGTAACATTCATAAAGCAACAATGACCTACGATCAATTCTATATATGTCAAATATATGGTCGTACACTTTTCATGAGGATAGTGTATATAACAAGGTTACAGTTGGCCCCGTGACGGACCCATTCATAAACTGCATAGATCTTGTACCATGAATGTCACCCCTGTATGGCCACATGAGACTCTATCTCCTGGCAATAGATGGCAATATGACTTGGAAACGTTGTTCATCAGAGAAAACACGACAGGCAGTAGATAAAGTTTTCTGAAATTTTCCGGATTCTTGTCCCGAAACAGACACTGAGAAAGTACGTCAACGTCTTAATTACATAGCATACACCATTGCTTTTAATGATGTCGATGCTGTTGCTAAGTGTTGTTCCTTCAACTCGCTAAAAGTTTTCAGGGATCTGATAGACGAGGTGAGAAAACTAAATCATTGATAAGATAACCTCTTATCTTCACAAGTAGCTCAGGCAGTGGCAATTACAGCTGCCTTGTCTTGGATTTCAATCACGACGCGTTGAATAATTTGTAATCCTTTTCCGGGAACCTGCTCGTGTTTTTCCGGGAAGTTGTACTTGAAGTTGAGACCTTTATCTGATTGAGCAATAGCCACTTATCCACACACAGCCGTGTGTGCCTTCCTGCATCCATAACGTTCATCATGCCCTGCAATTAGCGGTAAAGAGAGTCTTTGAAACAAATTCTTGCCACTTTGAGCCAGCACATATCTTGTTGAAACTAATTCGTACATCTAATAAGGTTAACGACAAAGGGTAACCAAGTTGTTTTGATGATTGCTGTTGCAAATCAGTAAGGGTAGGCTCAATGTAAGATATGCATAATCATTCCTCGGCAAATCTTCGCATCAAATTCCCCCATCTGTGGCCTGTGGAAGATCTCATTAAAACTAGTAGACATACTGTATGAGATTAGAGATCGAAAAGTTGTGGGACCAAAGTTGTTGCCAGCAGACAGCTGGCGCGCGAGCAATGCTCAAATGAATCATCCAGGAATTAAGGAATTCGGTATTAAGGAGATAGCCTGACTGAAAGCTAATGGGGTCCAGCTCTGATGTAGTTTCGCTCAGAAACACGCCGCCTGCCTTGTCAATTCCTGGAAAACCAACTTTCATGTCAGTAAGGAATGTTAAGGGCGTCATTAATTTTACGTGTCTTGATATGTGCTTGATAAGTGCTTGATAAGACAAACTTGCTAGAAAGCAAAGGTCTTTGACCTAAAAGTTTTTGAATCTTCAACTGTCCGCTACACCTCACTGTGTTTGGTTTGATTGCGATAGAAAATCAGTCAGATTTGGAATGTGCGTGTTAGCAACGTCTATATATATTCCTCTTCAATAAGTAAAGTTTAATGACACATATAGATTTTTATGCAACATTACATTCAATAATTTATTGAAAGATGAGATTTTACAAAACAAAAACACGAAGTGCATTTTTTTACTGTTGACCATAAGGTTGAGTAATTTCTAGGATCAAGGGAAAGGTTTGCTCTTTCTGTAAGGTTTCTATACTTGCTGTTAATCTTCAAATAACCACGTGCAGAAAGGAATCAATAGACAGACCTTAGACATCCTCTCACTCATAGTGTTTTGCTTAATGCCTTTCCAAGAAAGTGACACAGTCGACACTTAAGGCGGTCATCTACCTTACAGTTCAGCCTAAACTTGGCTCAGTGTCAGTTCGTGATTGACACATGCGTCTCTATAGCTGAGGGCAATCATAAATTTACTGACTCAATCTAATTGTGTGTCAGTCTTGTCTTGTGGATCAAACGTCCCCGTAAGGATCATATCGATTTATCAGCAGAGGTTCGAAAGGAAAGATGTCAATTAGAAAAAAATGGAAGGTATTGTTGGGTTATGAAAATGCATGGTGGGCTAGGGGTATGTATTGAAAAAGAAATCACTATTCATGACCTTTTGATACGTTTCTTTCAAGACTTGCTAAAAACAGTAAGTAAGTAGTAGACAAAGATGAGCACCGGCCAAGCGGATACACCATGTATGAATGAATAAATGAAAATAAATGTGTTTTCAGATACCCATCCATGGTTTTGCTCCTTTTTGTCTTCTAAAACATACAAGAGTATGGCATCCTTTATGGTATCGCCAGGGGGCATCTTTGCACAATTTTTTTCATTTGTGTACAAGTGCACTTCTTTTCATTACTGGTGCCTCGTCACCAACTTTGTACATGAGTATAGTCTAGTACGGGATTTTTTTACTGTTTGAGTATGTTTTATGTAAAGGGGTGTTTAAGGATGTTTGGGGAGTGTCTGGGAAACTGCATATCCAACACTGAAAAAGAACACATGGACACGCAATTTGTAGGTTATTTTAATCGTCTACACTATCTGCTCAATATAGTATTGGGAAACCAGAGAAAACTGGCACTAAATCTGGCTTTAAAAACTTATCATTGTGTGAAAGGTTGCGTCACAAAGATTACAAGGCATATATCTATGGATTTGCCAATCCAATGTACAAGAAATATACACCATATATTATTATACTACATGTATTATATAGTATATAACGATAGCAGAAAGTGACTAACATCAATTAGTTTTAACACCAAACGTAAAGCCATTCTATGCTCTATGCTTTATTCGTACAGAATCAATAAACGTGTCTCTATCCAGCAGCATCAGATTTCAACTCAGCGTTTTTAGACATTATGAAAAAAAGGAACCAAATCCTTACTTAAGAATACAAGTTTTAAGTATTGTGTCTAAGCAAAAATTGATATTGAAAAACTAAACAACTTAAGATTCAAAACTATTTCAGTCATGACTGTAGACTCTTTAAATTCGTCGCACTATTGGTCTCGATGTTCGTCTTTGTTGTTCTCCTGCCATCCTTGTGTTAAACGTCTGTGGACAATAAATTACACAATTATAGCTCAGCAACACCCAAACAATGCATCAGCTGTAGGATACTTGCACTCGAAAGAAAGAGACAATCAGTTGTTCTTCTTCTGTCATGCAGACTTGTAACCACACATACATGATAATAGGTACTTATCGGGCACTTACGAATGGACTACGTACTTTTACTTCTGGCAGAAATAGTTGTTCTTTCCACTGCATCCCCTCACTCTCCACACATAGGTCCTCCTCCACTTCGCCATTGCCACACAGTCGGCACGTGCATTGTTGCGGCCCCTCCAGGGGTGGAAGGACCCGAGGCTGACACCGTTGCTCCAGACGAACGTACCCTCCTGTGCACGGTCGCTCAGTCCGATCCAGATGAACCTGCCAAGACGAAAAGCATTAAATTTTTTAGATTAGAATTCCTGTTATAAGAAATGCAATGATACTTTTACGGCTTTCAATCCGTAGCAAATGGCAGTCAGGGCCTTTCAGCGACATTACCTCTTTCCGCGCGCTTTCTGCACCAGATACTGGTGAGTGGCCGAGTCAGGCACGACCGCCAGCGTAGCACCGCGACCGTCGCAGTCGCTTTCCGCCGACAGGAATGTTCTTTTGCTTTCCGAGTAGTAGTAGCAGGCACCATTCCAAAACTCAAAGCCTGGAGAGCAGGACCCTGTAGAACAAGAAGAGAATACTTCCGTCTGCCCAGGACTTATTAAAGAGATAATGATAACAGATTCCCAATTAAGGCCCTTCCAACTATTAGAAAAGGGACCATAATTATCAGACAATTGACCCATCTTACCTGTACAGGTATATCCATCGCCATTGTATCCAGGGTTGCAAGCACAGGTGTAACTCCCAGGTGTGTTGGTACAGGTGGCCTGTTCGTCACAGGTGTCTGTTCCTTCGTCACATTCGTCGATGTCTGTGGAAGGAAAGGGAAGTCTGGCTTCAGTGTAAAACTTCCAATGTTGCTCAGGATCAATAAAATGTCAGACCATGTTTACATCGATACTGTTCTGACCGCCTTGACTTTCTTACATATGCAACAAAACATTTTAATCATACCTGTACAAGTGTTTCCATCGCCAGTGTACCCTCCGTTACAAGCACAGGTGAAGCTGCCAGGTGTGTTGGTACAGGTGGCAGCTGCATGGCAGGTGTCAGTCCCCAGGATGCACTCGTCGTTGTCTGTTGAAGGAGTAGGTCATATTTGATGACTGCTCATTACATCAAGGTCAGTTTCATTGCAACTTTCATGTATCAATTTTTGTGGATGTCTGTCATACCTGTACAGGTGTATCCATCGCCAGTGTATCCTACATTACAAGCACAGGTGAAGCTGCCAGGTGTGTTGTTACAGGTGGCAGCTGCATGGCAGGTGTCAGTCCCCAAGGTGCACTCGTCGTTATCTATAGAAGAAGGGTGTCATATTTGATGCTCTTAGAACAATGTCTGATACACCATACCGTATCATCATACGGTATATTGTATCTTATATTGTGGACGTCAGTCATACCGGTACAGGTGACATGCACAGTTTTGTTAATGTACAGGAAAAACATTTCTTCATAAAAATTTCAATCCTACGAACTTGCTTGAATAGTTTTACACCGTGTAGTCTAATCACCAAATGTTACACATATAACACTCATACCAGTGCAGGTGAATCCATCGCCAGTGTATCCAGGATTACAATCACAGGTGTAACTCCCAGGTGTGTTGGTACAGGTGGCATGTTCGTCACAGGTGTCTGGTCCGTCTTGGCATGGGTCGCTGTCTGCAACAAGATATATTTTGATGGCAACATTTTATTGTTATTACTTTACTGTGATCTAGATTTGGACGTCATAACAAAATATGCTTCGACTTCATTGCGTGTTCATTACAATTTTGATTCCAGCATTGTAGCACAAATGTCAAATCGTACCTGTACATGTGTTTCCATCGCCGTTGTATCCAGGGTTACAAGTACAGGTGTAACTCCCAGGTGTGTTGGTACAGGTGGCGTGCTCGTCACAGGTGTCTGTTCTTTCTTGGCATTCGTTGATATCTGCAGCAATATATACTTTGATGGCAACATCTTAATGTTATTACTTAACGGTGATCTGGATCACAAAATACTTCGAATTCAATACTTCAAATTCAATTCTAGCATTCTAGTATAGTACAAATTTTCAAATCATACCTGAACAGGTGCTTCCATCGCCGTTGTATCCAGAGTTACAGGTACAGGTGAAGCTGCCAGGTGTGTTGGTACAGGTGGCGTGCTCGTCACAGGTGTCTGTTCCCAGAGCACATTCGTCGACATCTGATGTGGAAGAAGTTATCGTTATTTTGTAGCACCCCTTGTTGACATTTTGAGACAGCGAGGAGTCAGATAAAAGAGAAGAGTAAGCCTGAGATAAACAAATATCTGTGCATTTTCCGGGGAAAGCCCAGTATTATAATAACTAAAGCATGCAAGGCGTCAATCATACCAATGCAGCTGTATCCCTCTCCTATGTACCCATCATCGCAAGTACAGTTGTAGCTCCCAACTACATTAGCACAGGTGGCAGCGTCATCACAAGTGTCTGTCCCCTGGTCACATTCGTCGACATCTAGAGAAAAAGCCATTGTTTCAGTTCTTGGTAGCTTGGTAACTGGTCATTAACATTTATTACCACACAATGCTCAGAAAATGTGTTATAGATAGGAAATTCACTATTCTACAACAGAGCAGCGTCTGTACCTTCCTCACAGTCGGCCCCAGTGAAAGAGTCGGGACATGTGCAATTGTAGAAGCCCACGTAGTCATGGCACGTGCCTCCATTCTGGCATGGATTTAAGTAGCAGTGGTCAGGCTCTGAAATACATACAATTGCGTATTAATAAAATAACTAATTACACGTATTTTTTTGTATTTTGACTGCGCAATGCATAAGCTATTACATGTACCTATATTACCTATACTTGCATCTAATATAGACATCTACAAAGAAATGTCGCAACATGAAACACGGGCTTACCTTCTCCACACCCCTCTATGGGGCTGTCTTGTGAAGGGCAGACCTTACATTCTGTCTGACCTTCTTCGTCCTGATACCAGCCTGGTGGGCACGGGTGGCAGGTGTTGTCTTGTTCATAGGTTCCGACTGGGCAGTTGACTTTAATTGTGAAATGGGAAAAATCAACATTAATCTCCTGGCATGGTGTATGTATGTCCTTATCACATTTCGTAACGACTTGAACATGCACTGAAACATAAAGTTGATGCTTATAAAACACTCAGCAAAAGTGGTATGGCCAGACCAAAGCACAATCCCTGTGTGATAAATGAATACAGCGGGATAAGAAATGGACAATGTATTGGGATTTTACTCACTGCAAACGGCGCCAAAGGTTTCCACCTTTTCGATCTGTCCTCCCTCACACTGTAGGTCGAAGGCGGGCAGGAGACCGACATAGTTTACTGCTTCTAACGACTGTCCCCCTATTTCGAGGTTGAAGGTCCTCGCTGCCACCCTGGCGCGAAGCTCGAAGTAGATGTTGTCCAGTGCGCCGATGACTTCTGACTGATCGTTGGCCGTTGGTTCCTCCGCAAGGGACTCTGCCTCGGTGAAAAACGTTATTTTTATGGTGTGCCCCAGGGTAGACCGTTTGACCACGGTGTCTACGTTGTCTTCCCTCAGTTCTGCGTCCCTTGGAGTGTCTCGACGCTTCCTCGACGTCAGTCCACAGGTCACCCCAATGTCGGATATCCCACATCTGATGCCAGCGCTGCAGTCACCCAGCGTCGCGTAGAGCTGGATAAGGTTTCTCTTGATGTCATCTTCGTTAAAGGCACAGGAGCCGCTGTAGTAGTAAAGCTCGTTCTTTTGACGGGCGCGACCCGGACGGAAGGCGCCTGGCGTAAAAATTTAACCAGAAAATAATATTAGGGTTTGGTATCATTTTACTATACAGGGTCATACAAACTCTTTCTGAAGTGTTTTTAAGTCCCAAACGCGTATTTGTCACCACAAAACTTACGAGAGCAGTCTGGCCACGGTAGATTTGCTGCCGGATGCCACACAGCGTACCAATCACACCGGTACGTGTCCGCTGGCGCTATTGCAAAGTCGTAGCTGGAATATAATAGATTTTATAACTATATATATATGCCATCACACAATTGAATAACTTGTATGATTAATATTATACGTATCCGTGTAAAAGATCAATGGAAAACGACAATTTAACAACAAAATTATGAGGCTATAGGAAGGTGTATGTTTGTAGTAGAACTTCACAGATTACCTGTTCTGACAGCTTAGGCTGCAGTACTTCTGAGCACCTTCAGCCACACCACAGGTCACGGCCCCGTTTCGAGGTGGTGCCGGAACAACGCATTCAGGGGCTGGGGTGTAAAATAAGTCAGTTATTGCATAGGTAGCTCAGAAAAGAACAAGAAATAGTCATGCCTTCAAGTACCGGTGTATCAGAGTCATGAACTAACGATTGAATGATCAACAATTCAATTTATAGAGCCATCATTTAGTGGAACTCACTGATACCAAGGAGGTCTAATGTTAAACCTCCTGTCAGTTAAGGCATCAACACTAGATCTAAACAACTTTCACAGTTAAATGTGCAAATGTTAGGTTAACAAGTCGTTTAGTGTAATGCAGCCAGCTGCCGCCGCACAGCATGCCTGCGAAGATAGATGGTGTGTAACATTAAATGGAGATTATACCGGCTATGATACCTTGGATTATGACATCGAAGTCACAGGTAGTTCCATCAGCATAGCCCTCTGCCCAACACTGGACGTTGTGTGTTCCGATGGGGGCGGCGTCTCCCTTGTTGGCGGAACATTCGTGATCGGCCAGCTCGTTGGACGGCTGGAAACGGAACTCCGGATCGGTCCAGTCCAGCAGACCTCCGTCTGGGGAGTTGACTGTTATTGGTGTGTCGTCAGGGCAGGATACAAGGTCGGGGGCGTCTCGCTCTAAGGCAGGTAGGAGTTATAAAGTGTAAAGAATAAGAAGGGTGCAACAAGACACAAGTGGTTCCTTATAGCATCCCTTACACCATACGAATTATCGTTTTACATGTACATGTAGGTTGTTATATATTTTACAGTGTGCCTATCAGGAATGAGGTGGATTCCAATTTTATGGAATGTTATAAAACATTAACTTACCACAGTGAAGACCATTTCCAGTATGCCCATCATTACAGGTACAGGAGAAACTTCCCTCTGTGTCGGTGCAGCCAGCGTTCTCATGACAGTTATCGGCATCCGTGGCACACTCATCTATGTCTGAGAGATGGAACATCAAAAGAATGACATTCAAAGCTGCAAGCGACATTTTTTTTTAATCCACAGGATGCATGATGCAAGATATGTGCTAATGGGGTGGTGCATCGTTTGGTAAGTAAATGTGAAGTGTATGCTTTCCATAAATATCAAGAGGTAAATACAAAATGTGACTTACTTCCACAGTCCGGAGACTCATAGCCGCTGTCACAGCTGGTACATTGGTCTGGGCTGCTGCAGATCCCACCATGTGGACAGGTTGTGGAGCCCCAACAGAGCGCTGTGTATGTGAAAACATGCGGCTTCATGTACACATTTTAGACGACATGTTATAAATGTCTTTTTTTCTGTTCACAATGCCAATAGTATAGGAAATACACTATATTTATGGCATCCATTTTGATATAACAACATACAATTCCCCTTTTATGATTGTGACTAGCAGTCGTTCAGAAAAGGCATCACGATATAATTTATTTTATGATACTCTCTTACCTGTGCACGTTCGACCGTTCCCCGTATATCCATTGTTACACACGCACCGGTAACTCCCCTCTGTATTGGTGCAGTTGGAATGTTGGTGGCAGTGGTGAGTACCTCTAGCACACTCGTCTATGTCTGAAAGAGAAATTAAGAAAGATATAAACATGAGAATTCCTTTCATTTACATTTCTGGTTATGGGATGCAAGCATAAAGAACACCTGTTGACCTCTTTAGTCCATACCATACCATACTATACCATACCATACCATACCATACCATACCATACCATACCGTACCGTACCGTACCATACCATACCATACCATACCATACGGTACATACCATACCATACAATACTATACCATACGGTACATACCATACCATACTATACCATATTTCCATTATCGTAGTCCTACAGTATAAATCAGATAGCAGATTATCTTGGTGATATATTTGTACATTTGACTGTCAGCTACGTATGCACATCATACATATGAACAAAGAAACCACTAACAAGAAATTTTCCTGTCAGAGAACTGATTTCATGATTTTATACTTCATGTTTGAATGTACAGAGGCTTACCGTTGTCGCAGCAGGTTCCGCTGTATCCAGTGTCTGCACAGTTGCATCTGGGACCATCTGGAGCTCCATGAGGACAATGCCTGTTGCAAGGACTTGTCTGACTGCTGTCTCCGGTACAGGATGAACCACCGCAATATGGAGTTACTGCTACTGTCCTGTTTTGAATTGGATACAAAAGTATTATTATATTATAGTTCAGTAACATGTCAATAAACTTAATGGAAATCATTCGTACTGTATCTCTTGATACATTACAACAAAGGTAATATGAGAATAGTCGATATTTTAAGTAATGAGAATACATCATTCGTAGTGGTTGGAAGATGACAACGATGAGACGGAATTCTACCGGTTCGACTTTAATTCAGTCTTTATGAAGAATTAAGTAATGAGAATACGTATGGTCATTGGATGGTCATTGGATTTTCCCTTTTAGCAACAATCGTACACATAGTATTAAGGCCACATGACATACTTTCATCCGCAAGATGCACTGGTATTTTAAGTATTTTAAGACTAACCTTGTTCTTGTCTGGGTTCCCGTATTGCCACACGGAGCTGTACAGTTGCCCCAAGAACTCCAGTCACCCCAGCGGCAGTCTCGACGACAGCAACCGCCGTTACACGACTTGCTGTCCCTGTCGCTGCCACTACATGCTCTTCCTCCGCAGTATGGTGGAACAAGGACGTTCCTGTATCATTGGAGGCAAAACATGTATACAGTGAACTCGAGCTCTTTGCCTTCCATTCCATTTGCCATGTCATTTGCAACGTAACGATGATATTTTCTTATGGAGCTTTCCTATCAAGATGATGCAGAAACAGACTGTCTTTGTGATACATCTGATGCCTTGTAAACATGTAACGGTGGATGGACATTTTGCCAATTCGACATGATGTTACCTTGTTCGTGTCTGGGTTCCGGAAGACTCACAGGGTGCCGAACAGGATCCCCAGGATCCCCAGGAACCCCACTGGCAGTCTCGAGGACAGCAACCGGCGTAACAGGACTTGCTCTCCGAGGTGCTGCCAGTACATGGTATCCCTCCGCAGTATGCCGACACAGCTATGCTCCTAGATGGAATCGTTTGGGGCAATACAGTTAACTCTGTGAATTCATTCCATTTGCATTTGCTATGTCATTGTCGACAAGTCGTCGATGAAGTTTGGTTATGACATTCTCTTATTAGGTTGATGCAGACATGTGTACAAATGTATCTGCATCTTGAAGGGATGAATACATTGGATGAATTTTGTTACTGATTCAAACCTGGATCGTCTCTGGGTTCCGGAGCCACAGGTTGCCGAACAAGAGCTCCAGGATCCCCAGGAACCCCACTGGCAGTTCCGAGGACAGCACACCCTGTTACAGGCTTCCACGTGGGTGCTGGAACCGCTGCATCCACTGCCGCCGCAGTATTCTGATGTCTTACCCCTGTATTTTGATAGGCGACATTATTGTCTCATAACAACATACTGTCTAATTTAGACATTCTGATCGCTTTGTATGTAACAAATATTACCTGCTATGTACATTATCCTTAGCAAAAACATATGTCATAGTTTTTACTTCTGTAGTTACAGAATGGGAGAAAATAGTATGTTTATCCAGCAATTTCCTATATCCAATAGAACGATTTTTTCAACGCAATTACCAGAAACCCAGTTGATGCCCGGACATGTACCTTGTTCTAGACCGAGTTCCGCTGCTTCCACAGGTTGCAGTACAGGAACTCCAAGAGCTCCAGCTATGCCATCGGCAGTTTCGGGGACAGCACCTTCTGTTACAGGCTACCGTCTCACGGCTGGGCCCGGTGCACGCCCTTCCATTACATTGCCGTGTCACAGCATGACTCCTACAATGTATCAAAGACGGATAATATGGTTACCGAGCGTTTGTTTCATATCCCCCGCATCAAAGGAAGTTCGAGAACAGGCTGAGAAAGAAAACATTTCATGCAAACATGTAGCTGCCTATATATTATTTGGTTTATTAATGCCGGGTTGTGCATAGAGGGACGTTATCAACTTTACAAAGTTCTGACCTTGTTCTTGTTTTTGTTCCACTGGAGCCACACGAGGCTGAGCAGGAGCTCCATGAACTCCAGCCACGCCACACACAGTTGCGATCGCAGCGGCGGCGTCGGCGTCTCCACCATGCGGCAGAGTCATCAGCAAGCAGGATGAACAGCACCGCTATCACAACCACGTACTTGGCCAGGCGAAGACTCATCTTTGCAGCCTGAAATCGAAGTCAGATACGAAGGTAGACTTAGGCTGGTTTAAAACTTTGATGTAGTTATGTATATATGTATTTCTTACTCCCTCTTGTATTTTTTCATTTTTTGATACTCACTCAACGCCTTGCATACTCCAGTGAGCGTAGGGCCTCGCCAAGTTGTCTTCCAGTCATTTTTATATCATAAAGGACAATGTGTCATGTCCTGAAGAGTGTGTGATGTTCATATGAGTTACTGTACTAATGTTTACCATCTGAGATATTCTATTAAGAGCGGTGCCATTTCATGAAAATCTTTAGATTCAATTTAGCCCAGAGTTTCTAATGCTCCCATATCTTGGGAATACATTCATAACCTGTGAATGGTTATGTCTACTTCGCACTACGTAAACAGTGTCTAGAAAAAAACCGTCACAAGGAAATGACCTTCTGCAAAAACACGAGTTCACTCGCAATCATTTTAGGTGTGCCCGCGAAGAGCATTAACTGCTAAGGATTGCATCACAAAAGACACGATTGACCCTGTAATTATCTGAGGTCGGCATGTATATGTCATTAGCAGGCGAGCTCACTGCATCACAAGGTTTCCTCCATGCTTTCTCCGTATTGAAGAAAAAGACAAAACTATGATATAAGATAGTGTATCTATATATAGGAGCCGCAATCTAACTTTCATTTTCCGGACGCCTGCAGCTACTTTTACATACCAGAGTTCATAAAAATTCATCAAAAACCTTTCGAGTAAAACCACAACTTTTCGAGTAAAAACGTATATACAATCACACACACATGCGCGCGCGCACACACACACACACACGCGCACACACACACACACACACACACACACACACACACACACACATGGGCAAAGCTGCAAATACACTTCTCTGAGAAATAAAGGTAAAGAACGCTTACGTCGTAAGGATTCAGTGAACAGTCGAAACTAGAACTGTTCTATATCTTGACATTATTCGAAAATTCACTCGATATAGGCCTACCTGTGAATGGTCATGTCTATTTCGCACTACTAAATGTTAAACAGTGTCTAGAGAAAATCGTCATAAGGAAATGACCTTCTGCAAAAATGGCACGTTCACCCGCAATTAGTTTAGGTGTGCCCGCGTAAAGCGTTAACTGCTAGGACTGCATCACATAGCTCGATGACAATAACAAGCTTCGGGTCATCACACATGATCAGGTATGACAGACTGGTCTAGGCTTGTCTTGTTAGGTTCTGAGACAACCTGTTGTGGCCGTCAACATTGTTAAACGTTGTGTACATAGTCTTACATCTTTCTCAAACTTGGGCCATGTTGTGACATGTCAAAACATTCCAAGCGTTGCACGATTAGGTTAAGCTCAGTAGTTTGTTTATCGACCCGAATCTTGTTATTTCCATCGAGGTAGTTTAATGACAATGAAGCAAAGCTTCGAGATCTGGGGCTTGGATTAACGTAGTAAAAAAAGTAGTACATGTATTTGCAACCAACTTTGTAAGCCAGTTTTCGCCCTCGTTAGAAACTGAAAGTAAGGCCACACTGACGTCCTCTGAAGACCCCCAAACTAGTGCGCGCGGGAGAATGAAAAACAGCCCCAAAAGTGCTGCTAAACCACAGGAATACAAAACTGGGATTGTATATTTGCGGTACTACATAGCGACTTTTACCACAAGCAGCAACATGCTGGAAGACATTTATGAGTCGGCACTATACTGAGTTCTTGAGTTCGTGAAGCTTTGGCGGCCTGGGTGCCGTTCTCCATATAGTTATCGCCGGTTTAGCCTCCTTCATAGACATGTGGGGCGGCGGAGATTATTTTTTCGGGGAGCGACTTAAGCCGCGGAGGGACGGTTTTGCCGCCGAGGGTACCGGGGAGAGAGTTTTTCACCGCCAAACGGCAAAGTCTTGCGGTGACCTAGACAAGAGCCTCGGAGGAGGGCTTTTTACTTTAGAACAGACGAAAATCAATTAATGTACGCGTGGATGTCATCCATAAAATAACGGTGAACCGGAAAGAAGGCACAAGTCGATCAATCGGCGCGATATTGTTGTGTTCTACACTGGATAACCGCGACTACCTGACTTTGTACGCCAATCAGCTCCTTTATTATGTGTGCACATCATTATGTGAACAATAACTTCTCAATGACATGAACCAATGGGGTCGGTGTTTTCAAGTAAATCGGAGTTTGTTTGAAACTGGACGGTGACGTAAGGGGAATCCCGTTAACGCCTAACGCAAAGGCCTTCGTGTCATCAAATCTCTCAGGAGGAAATGGTCCTGAAGTATCGTCACTTCTGCTTTTGCTGAAAAGGTCAGCAAGAGCAGAAGTGACGACCATAGTGTCTGCGACAGAAGTGCAGAGACTATGAAGAGGTTGTAAACATGTCAGAGCGGCAAATTATGACGTTAGTTCGTCTGATGAAGCATACCACCGATGTATTAAAGACAAACAAACTACTGAATTGACGAACTTAACCTAATCGTCCAACACTAGGAATGACATGTCAAAAATGCCCGTGTTTGAGAAATGTGTAAGACTATATGTACACAATGTTTAACAATGTTGACGGCCACAACAGGTTGTCTCAGAACCTAACAAGACAAGCCTAGACCCGTCTGTCATATCTAATCCCGTGTGATGACCCGAAGCTTGTTATTGTCATCGAGCTAGTTTATGTCACCAGATGACAACGAAGCAACGCTTCGAGATCTGGGGCTTGGGTTACTATCTTGCCCCTTCTCTTTCCCCTTTCTTTCTCACCTTCGCACTCTCACTCTCTCTCCATATCACACACACACACACACACACACACACACACACATACACACACACGCACACACACACACACACAGACAAACCTACACATACACATACGCTTTTTGGAGAAATTAAGGTATGGAGCCCTTACGTACGCTGCAAGGATTGAACAGTTTTGTGTAAGTCGAAACTAGAACTGTTCTATATCTTAACATAAATCAAAGCTTCGCTTGATATAGGCCTATCTGTGAATGTCTACTTCGCACTGGAGAAAACCGTCACAAGGAAATGACCTTCTGCAAAAATGGCACGTTCACCCGCAATTATTTTAGGTGTGCTCGCACTACATAGCGACTTTTACGACAAGCAGCAACATGCTGGCCTTTTGCGACAAGGCACTGTGAGTCGGCACTGTGTATGTACTGAGTTCTTGAGTTCGCTTTGGCGAGCTTTGAGTGAGCTTTGGCGGCCTGGTTGCCGTCCTCCGTATAGTTGCCACCGGCTTAGCCTCCTTCACAGACTTGTGGAGCAGTGGCGTTGATTTTTTTCGAGGAGCGACGCAACTATAGTAGGGTGCCGGGGAGAGAAATTTTCACCGCTCATGCAACAAGTGAAACACTTTCTCCCCGGCAAAGTCCCTCGGCTGCAAAACCGTCGCTGGCTACCATGGACTACGGAGGATAGCACTTAGAAAAGAGCCCCTCAGGAGGGCCTTTTATGACTAAAAAAAATCGAATATCAATGTACGCGTGGATGTCACCCATGAAATAAAATCAGTGTGGCCTAACTAGATAAAGCATACCTGTGTCTGCTAATGCTGGCCGGTGTCGGGCGGTGAACCGGAAAGAAGGCACCAGTCGGTCAGTCGGCGAAATATTGTTGTGTTCTATACTGGATAACCGCGACTTCCTGACTTTGTACGCCAATCATCCCCTTTATATATCTATGTATGAATATCATTATGTGAACAATAGCTTCTCAATGACGTGCACCAATGGGATCGATGTTTTCAAGTAAATCAGAGCTTGTTTTTAAACTGGACGGTGACGTAAGGGGAATCCCCTTTCCGCCTGCGGCGAAGGCCTTCGTGTCATCAAATGTCTCAGGAGGAAATGGTCCTGAAGAAGTATCTTCACTTCTTAGAGCTGTGCTTTTTCTGAAAAAGTCATCTTAGAACATTCCAGTTTTTCAGAAAAATAAAAACGAAGAACAACGCGTACCTAGTCTACAACAGAAGTGCAGAAACGATGTGGAGGTTGTCAACATGTCAGAGCGGCCAATTATGACGTTAGTTGGCCATGGCCTGAAGCATTCCACAGATGTAAAGATAAACAAACTACTGAACTTAACCTGAATGTGAAACGCTAGGAATGACATTTTACAACAATGCCCATGTTTGAGAAAGGTGGAAGACTATGGACACCACGTTTAACAATGTTGACGTTCACTGCAGTTTGTCTCAGAATCCAACATGTACACGATAAGCCCCGATAAGACCAGATCAGGTCGTTGTCATGTGTAATGACCCGAAGGTTGTTATTGTCATCGAGCTAGTTTAAGTCACCTGATGACAACAAAGCAAAGATTCGAGATCTGCGGCTTGGATTTAAAGCCTCATATTGTCTTCTCTCTCTCTCTCTCTCTCTCTCTCTCTCGGTCAGTGTCGATTCTTGCAAGAATTAAAATACCCTGACATTCTTAATCATTATCTAAATGGTTCGAATTCCAAGGAACAAACCGCCGGGTAAAATCTTCTCAATCATACGAGAGTATGGCGTCATTTATGATATTCCAGCGTTCATCATTGCACATTTGTCAATTAGAGTGTAAACGTTTCATTACTGGTGCCACGTCACCAACTTACGCGATCGATCAAAACCCAAATAAACAAAAGTCGTTTTCTACAATAGTCCATTATAACAATAAAGTAATATAATAGATAATATAATAGAAAATTGACCCTAAATCTGCCTTTAAAATCTTTTCATCGTGTTAAAAATTGCGTCACAAAGATTACAACAGCATATATTTATGCATTTACCAATCTAATGTACGAAGAAATATACACCAGATATTATATGTAACGATAACAGACCGAAAAGTGTTATTTGAAGTGACTAAAACTCATTAGTTATGACATCAGAGATATTTTTATAACTAAACATATTAAGATTAAAAATCATTTTAGTTAAGACGTGTTAAACTCTAACATTAGTTACACTATTGGTCTCGTTGTTCGTCTTTGTTGTTCTCCTGCCATCCTTGTGTTGAACGTCTGTGGACAATATAAAATACACAATTCTAGTTCATCAGTAGCACCCAAACGATGCATTAGCTGTTAAAGACATGCACTCTTGTAGTTACTTTCATCCCATGCAGACTTGTAACCAGGCTAATAGGCTAATAACTAAACGTTTTCTTAGCAAGGATAGTTGTTTGGCCATGACAATGAAAGTGGCAGTAAGACTTAACTGCTAAAGTGTAAGTGAAGATTAGATTTTCCACCAAAATATGATAGCCGATGATAGCCGATGCATGGTAGCTCCTACGGGTACTTACGAATGGACTACGTACCTTTACTGCTGGCAGAAATAGTTGAGCTTTCCACTGCATCCCCTCACTTTCCACACATAGGTCCTCCTCCACTTCGCCATCGCCACACAGTCGGCACGAGCATAGTTGCGGCCCCTCCAGGGGTGGAAGGACCCGAGGCTGACACCGTTGCTCCAGACGGGTCACTCAGTCCAATCCAGATGTTCCTAACAATGAATTCCTGTAAGAAATTCAATAATACTTTTGTGTCTTTAAATCCGCAGTAAATGACAGCCAGACTTACCTCTTTCCGTTTGCTTTCTGCACCAAATACTGGTGAGTGGCCGAGTCAGGCACGACCACCAGCGTAGCACCACGACTGTCGCAATCACTTTCCGCCGACAGGAATGTTCGCCTGCTTTCCGAGTAGTAGTAGCAGGCACTATTCCAGAACTCAAAGCCTGAAGAGCAAGAAGCTGTAGAACAAAAGGAAGAGGAGTACAGGTAAGATGAGTCAATTGTCTAATGATGAAGGTCTGTCACATTTATGGCCCCTTTTCTAATCGTTGAAAGTTAACTTGGAATCTGTTATCATTCTCTCTTTCATAAGTCTTGGGCAGACGGAAGTTTTCCTGTCAGAGAACCGCAATCCAAATGATTTCATGTTTCATCCTTGAACGTTCATAGACTTACGGTTGTCGCAGCATGTTCCGCTGTACCCAGTGTCTGCACAGTTGCATCTGGGACCATCTGGAGTTCCATGAGGACAATGCCTGTTGCAAGGACTGGTCTCACTGCTGTCTTCGGTACAGGATGAACCACCGCAATATGGAGTTACTGATATTGTCCTGTTTTGAATTGGATACAAAAGTATGATTATGAATAGTTCCGTAACATGTCAATAAACTTAATGGAAATCATTCGTACTGCATGTACTGCTACATTACAACAAAGGTAATATGAGAATAGTCAATAATCTAAGTAATGAGAATATGTATGGTCATTGGATGGTCATTGGATTTTCCCTTTCAGCAACAATCGTACACATAGTATTAAGGCCACATGACATACTTTCATCTGCAAGATGCACTGGTATTTTAAGGGACTAACCTTGTTCTTGTCTGGGTTCCCGTGTTGCCACACGGAGCTGTACAGTTGCCCCAAGAACTCCAGTCACTCCAGCGGCAGTCTCGAGGACAGCAACCGGCATGACAGGACTTGGTCTCCGAGGTGCTGCCATTACATGGTATCCCTCCGCAGTTTGCCGACACAGCTATGCTCCTAGATGGAGTCGTTTGAGGCAATACAGGTAACTGTGAATTCATTCCATTTGTATTTGCTATGTCATTGTCGTCGATGAAGTTTGGTTATGTTTTTATGTTGGTTAAGTTTTCTTATTAGGCTGATGCAGAAATTGACCGTGTGTACAAATCTATCTGCATCTTGAAGGGATGGAATTATACTGTAACAGATGCAACATTGGATGAATATTGTTACTGATTCAAACCTGGATCGTCTCTGGGTTCCGGATCCACAGCTTGCCGAACAAGAGCTCCAGGATCCCCAGGAACCCCACTGGCAGTTCCGAGGACAGCACACCCTGTTGCAAGCTTCCACCTGGCTGCTGGAACCGCTGCATGGAGCACCGCCGCAGTTTTCTGGTGTCCTACCCCTGTATTTTGGTAAGCGATATTATTAATTTGTCTCATAACAACATACTGTTTAATTTAGACATTCTAGTTGATTTGTATGTAACAAATATTACCTGTTGCGTATATTATCCTCAAGAAAAACACTTACTTCTGTAGTTACAGAATGGGAGAAAATAGTATGTTTATCCAGCAATTTCCTCCTTGAATTGTCGATATAGAACGATTTTTTCAACGTGATTACCAGAAACCCAGTTGATGCCCTGACATGTACCTTGATCTAGACCGAGTTCCGCTGCTTCCACAGGTTGCAGTGCATGAACTCCAAGCACTCCAGTCATGCCAGTGGCAGTTTCGGGGACAGCACCTTCTGTTACAGGCAATCGTCTCACGGCTGGGCCCAGTGCACGCCGCTCCACCGCACGCTGCATTCACAGCAATGCCCCTGTCAGAGAAGATGTCTATGGTTACCAAGCGTCTGTATCAAGCTCTAGAGTACAGCACAGGACAGAGAGAGAATATGACATCCTTCCAAGTAAAAACATATTTAACCCCCTTCCCGGTTACTCCAAAGTTTCCATAGAAAAAACAAACAAAATATGAACAAATGTTCATGGCACCTTAATCAAATAGACAGAAATATAGAAAACTATTTTAAGTTACACACAGTATGTTCAGTAAAGCCCCTAGAGAGTTAATAAATAATAATAAACAAAATTATCAAAAACAAGGCTTTCGAATCCAAACTAATAAAGTGGCCGGTTAAACTTCAAAAACAACATCTATCAAAATAGACCGTATCAGTTATTAAAGAATACGAAAACCGGCCGCCAAGGGGACCAAAAGTTTATGAATATTAATTAGAGGACGCCTCAACGCCGGCCGGAGCACAACCAGGCCCCGACAGGAAGCCGTAAAGGAAAATTTAATTGTGACCCTGACAGTCGGCGCACGTTCGGCTTCATGACGCCGGCCGGCGTCTACACCGAGGACAGGCCGAACGGGCGCCGTTTCAAATGTGACCGAAGCTTTAGGTAGTACCCGTCCACACCTGGGTGGAGTGAGGAAATTCGTGTAAAGTGCCTTTCACAAGGGCGTCGGGGCGCGTGTTCAGATATGTCCCGGGTACGACTCGGAATCGAACCCGGGTCTCCCCTCTTCATAGTCGATTGCTCTAACCACTACACCACTCGACGCCACGTAAATAGTACTTGTATTAATAACTAGTATGGAATTACTACTAAGGAATTGCCATTGCGTTCCATGTTATATTGCTCATAGAGGAAAGTTCACTTTAGTTCTGACCTTGCTCTAGTTTGTGTTCCATTATTACCACACGTGGCCGAGCAGGGGCTCCAAGCACTCCAACCACCCCACACACAGTTGACAACGCAGCGGCGGCGGCGGCGGCGTCTAAACCATGCGTTGGACTCATCAGTAAGTAGGATCAACAGCACCGCTATCACAACCACGTATTTGGCCAGCCGAAGGCTCATCTTTGCAGCCTGAAATCGAAGGCAGTAGCGAGGTAGAATGGGGCTAGTACATGCATCAATACATAAATCAAATTATGGCTTGCAATTCTAATATCATGATACATTTCACAAGGAAATGACCTTCGTCAAAAAAGCATGTTCACCTGCAATCATTTTAGGTGTGCCCGCGTATATCATTAAGTTCTGGAACTGCATCACAAAAGGCACGTTTGCCCTTCAGCAAAACAGGCCGTTTGCCTGATTTGA